CTAAATACGACAACGTTAATGAAAGCCGGTAAAGAACTAGGACTCGAAATAAACGTGGATAAAACAAAATATATGGTTACCTGCAAAAATGGCGGTACTACTGGTGATATCGATATAGATGGTAATATGTTTGAACAGGTAGATAAATTTAGGTTCTATGGTAACTAGAAAAAACGAAATTGAAGAAGAGATTAAGGTTAGACTGAAGGCGGGGAATGCTTGTTATTTTTCTGTGACAAAACTACTTAGTTCGCGCCTCTTGTCCCGAAACTTAAAAATTAGAATCTATAAAACAATTATCTTGCCTACAGTTCTTTATTGATGCGGAACTTGGCCGCTTACATTAAGGGATGAGCAGCGTCTTAAGGTTTTTGAAAATAAAGTATTGCGTAGAATGTTCGGACCGAAGAAGGATGAGTTAACCGGAGAGTTCAGACGGTTACACTACGCCGAATTGCGTGAACTGTATCCGGGTAATATAATTGAGGTAATTTCATCGCGGCGAATCAAATGGTTACAAGCTCGTTTGGTTGGAACGGTGGAGGGAGGTGTGTAATAAGCGATTGGTGGTGTCGGCATCGAACCTTCGGGTTCGTTAAGCCTTTTATTATTATTATTATTATTATTATTATTAATACCGGAGGGTTAGGAAAAAGCAAAATTTGAGTTTCAACTAAGTGTTCTACGAATTTATCTTTGGGCTGACTACTGATTGTGCTCCAATTATAGACGTATCTATAGTTTTATGTGGTTATTCTGAACATTGCGGTTTATATAAAATTATCAACTTTGAAACGATATACGTATAAATTCTGGCTTCTAGCTCTGATGAATTTTTAATTTTTGTAGATTAAAATTTTCGGAACCGAAACTGTTCTTTTATATTTTTTATATTAATTTTTTATCGAAGTTTTACGATTACTAATTCATGATCCGCATTTTGACAGAACCGTTCAACTATCGATCAAATATATTCTTTAACGCAAACGTTAGAGAAAAAGATAAGAGTAAAACAGTATTGTTCGCCAGCTGTATATCGATTTTAAAAAAGCTAACGATTCTATTGACCGCCAGAAGCTGTATAATAGTTTAATTGAGAAGAGGATTCCAAAAAAAAAAATTAGTAAATCTAGTTAGGATGTGCTTGACGGAAACATTCAATAAAGTTAGAATCAATAATTATTTATCCGAAAAGTTTTTCTTTTTGAAAAGAATCCGAAAAGAGGTTCTTTTGGGTTTAAAACAAGGTGATTCACTATCACCTGTTCTTTTTAATTTAGCTATAGAATATACCATTAGGGCGATAATGCGAACTGAAAAAGGTTTTAATCTGGGTGGAACAATAACCATGCTTGTTTACACGGGCGGATCTACGGAGGTGTGAGGGTGTGGGAAGGGTTTCAGGATTAAGTCCCTTCCCCCCCTCCGCCCAAATGGTAAAATATTATCATGTCTTATAGAAAAATACTAAAAAATTATCTCTAGAGGTATTATTGTTCGTGTAATTACATTTAATAGGACATCAAGAATCACAATAGGTAGTGTTTTTTTTTTCTTCCATAATAATTATCGTTATATAAAGAAAAAAAGAACTTTCAGGCTGAAACCTCCCAAAAAAGAAATCCTGGATCCACTATTGCTTGATTATGATGATGATCTGGTCCTGTTAAGCGAAGACACGGAAACTATAAAACTAAATATGACAACGTTAATGAAAGCCTGTAAAGAACTAGGACTCGAAATAAATACGAATGAGACAAAATATTTGGTCAGCTGTAAAAAGGGCGACAATGTCTGTGATATTTGTATAGACGGGAATATATTCGAACCTTAGTTGACACCTTCGAACCTTAGAGAAATTTAGGTATCTCTGGTCTACAACAGCTAGAAAAAACGAAATTTAAGAGGAAATAAAGATTTGGCTGAAGACGGGATATTTGTGTTATTTTTCTGTGACAAAACTACTTAGATCGCGTCTCCTGTCCCGAAAATTAATAATTAAAATTTACAAAACCATTATTCTATCTACACTATCGAGGAATTTCACTCCTTCCGGTATGTTATAAAATATTCACTTTAATCTTAACCAGTCGAATCACGGAATACGCCGAGGAAATTATCGGAGACTACCAATGCGGATTTAGACGGAATCGTTCGACTATTGATCAAATATTTTCTTTACGGCAAATATTAGAGAAAAAATTGGAGTATAACGGTATTGTTCACCATCTGTATATAGATTTTAAAAAGGCTTACGATTCTATTGACCGCCAGAAACTGTATAATATTCTAATCGAGCAGGGGATTCCAAAAAAACTAGTAAATCTAGTCAGGATGTGCTTGACGGAAACACTCAATAAAGTTAGAATCGGTAATAATTTGTCCGGAAAATATGAGGTTCGTTCGGGCTTAAAACAGGGGGATTCTCTTTCGCCTGTCCTGTTCAATTTGGCATTACAACATGCCATTAGGGAGGTAATGCGAACTAAATTTAGGTATCTAGGTTCTACGATAACTAGAAAAAACGAAATTGACGAAGAGATTAAGGTTAGACTGACGGCGGGGAATGCTTGTTATTTTTCTGTGACAAAACTTAAAAATTAGAATCTATAAAACAATTATCTTGCCTACAGTTCTTTATGGATGCGAAACTTGGCCGCATACATTAAGGGATGAGCAGCGTCTTAAGATTTTTGAAAATAAAGTATTGCGTAGAATATTCGGACCGAAGAAGGATGAGTTAACCGGAGAGTTCAGACGGTTACACAACGCCGAATTGCGTGAGCTGTATCCGGGTAATATAATTGAGGTAATTTCATCGCGGCAAATCAAATGGACTTGTAAAGTTGTTGGGCTTAGTAACGAGAGAATTCCTAAAAGGTTAATATTTGCTGTGCCGAATGGTAAGCGTCCGAGGGGTAGACCGAAGGGAAGGTGGGAAGATTGCATTAAAGCCGATCTGAAGGGACTGGGTTTGGACGGCGAACGGTGGAGGGAGGTGTGTAACAAGCGATTGGTGGTGTCGGCATTGAACCTTCGGGTTCGCTAAGCCTTATTATTATATTATTATTATTCTATCTACGGTTCTTTATGGCTGTGAAGCGTGGCCACTTACATTAAGGAATGAACAACACTTAAAGGCAATTGAAAATAAAGTATTGCGAAGAATATTCGGACCAAAGTTGGATGAGTCAACTGGAGAATTTAGACGGTTACACAATACCGAATTGCGTGAACTGTTTTTCGTTAATATAATTGAAGCAATTAAATTGCTGAAAATAAAGTGGGCGTGTAAAATTGTTAGGCTTAGTTCCGAAAGATTCCTTAAATCCGGTGTACCGACTGGTAAACATCCGATGGGTATAGCTAAGCGAAGATGGGAAGATAGCGTTAAAGCTGACCTGGTGAGGTCGGTTTTTGTTGGTGACTGGTGGAGAGAGGTGTGTAAACAGCGGCTGGTGGTGTCGGTATCGAACCTTCTTCGCTAAGCCTTTTATTATTATTATACATTCTGATTACTATTTCCAGAAATTCACTTTCAACATAAAAAAATAATTTTTCTTCTTTCTCCTTTAATCAATTATCAAATTCTTTCATAATTTATTTATCTAGGTAAGAATTAAACTTTTATATTATTATTTTAACTGTATATAACTATTCTTTATTTTCACTTTAATCTAAATAAATACTCAAACACGACACTGTTAAATGAATTAATGTTTAAAATTAAATTAAAGTTAGAGCCAATGGGTAAGACGGCCTTAAGGAAAAAAATCTGTTTTATTTACTTGTTCCACTAAGATTACTATCTGTTAGTAATAAAATATTGTTTTCAATCTCTAACCCTTATTATTTTTAAATGTCGTCCTAATTTCATAACGGTAAATTGAATCTGAGAGTATTAGGTTGAATCTTTATGACTTGTTGCATCATTTGTTGTTAACATATTCTTTAAAATTAATGAAAAATTACATATTTTTTTTCATCTGGAAATGTGAGGATGTATCGATGGTGTTCAAAAATCATTATCAATGGTTTTTAAATTTTCTATTTGATTATTTCTTTTATTTAATTATTTCAATTATACGTAAACCTTTTGACTATTATTTCCGGAGATTCATTTTCGACCTGGATAACCATTTTTCTTTTTTTTCTGCAGTTTCCAATTATCATATTCTATCAAACTTCATATTTAGCCATTTTTTATAGTTACTGTCAATAAAAGAGAGTTGATTTTTTCAAATAAACCATTTTAAAGATACTTTAGAGGAAGACGTATTAGGCATTTAAGCATTGTAAAGTGACATCAAGGAGGATAAGACCTAAATGATATTATAGACTACCACAGGCGGATCTACGGAGGGGAGGGCTTTCGGGCTGAAGCCCCCTCCCCAAAATGGTAAAATATACAGAAAAAAATATTAAAAACAACCTTTTAAAGTGTTCTTGTTCGTTTAATTACATTTAATAGGACTTCAAGAACCACTTAAACACCATTTCATATAGGTAGTTCGTTTCTTTCTTCTTTTTTTAAAATTATGTATATGAAAAAAAATCTTTCGGGCTGAAGCCCTCCCAAAATTAAATTCTGGATCCGCTAGTGTAGACTACTTAATTATACAATGATCCACCGAGTTAATCAAAATCGTTAGAGCCGTTCTTGAGAAAAATGTGTTTCACCGTTGATATAAAGTAGCACTTTCGATTTTGACGAAAAATTTGCTGTGACATGTGAGATATATAAAAACCTTAAATATGCAATTTCACTTTCATACGGCTTTCCGATTTTGAGCAAGACTGTTCACATACACACAGACACACGCAGGCACGCACGCACACACACACACAATGTGTGTCATGTCACAATTTAAAAACTAACAATTTTTCTCATTTGCTTAACATAATCAACAAGATTTCTATGATAATCCCCGAAAAAGTTATATTTAAAAGAAAATGAGATCTAGCGATATTTTTCCAAACTATCGATATATATTTAATTATTTGTATTTAATTTAATTTTTCATAGGTTGCCGACATTGATACCTCTAGAACCATGTGATTGAAGTAGACCTTCCTAAATAACCTTCACGTAAATGCTCAAGCTATGTACACTAGTTAGTGAAGTCAGTGTTTGGTTTTCGAAGGCTGGGGTTCTAGTTGTCTCTAAATTGACATGACAATTGTTCATATTTAATATATTTAGTATAAAAATTCATCATCAATCATGGAAGGCGAAAGTGACAGTGCTTCGAGTAAAGAATTGATTCCGGGCCACAGTAGCTTACAAGCTTTTATACATGTAATAATTTTGTATTTTGTTGTGTTATTATTAATTAAATTGGTTTTCTAATAAATTATATATTTGCAGAGTGCACTACCTAATGTGCTTGAGGGTATTAAAGCTTCTAACAGCTTACCTAGTCCTCAAGATTTTAGTTATTATCGAACTTACCCTGAATTCGTTAATGTAATGAAATATGAGGGTATGAAGCTGAAAAGTTTGTAAGTTTGGATCAATTATATTTTTGATTATATCTAATAATTGATATTATAATGTTGGTTTATTTTTTCAACTAATGATATTTTAGATCTAACCTATTATATAAGTATTAATAATACTGATCTGTTTTAGGATGGACTGTTTGATGAAGAGGAATGGTATGAGAAAGATTGATCATAATTTTGATACAATCATAGATTCAAATGACAAAAGTCTTGACCGGGTCACTAATAACTTACTAGAAATGGATGGACGTAAAAGGAACCCTCTACCTTCTAAACCTTCCACTAATGCACAAACAAATGTTCCTAGTGGAGGTTGGCATGATAAAGATGTTAATTCTCAGCCATCAAAGGAAGAAGTAACATTGTGTGTTTCATCGGGAACTATTAGGCCACAAGTGTTTTTTAAAGATAAGGTGTGTTCTTAAAAATATACAAATTCAGCTCTAATGTAATTAGAGATAATTGAGGAACCTAAAAGTGTTTAAGAAAATGTGTTTGATTTTATGTGATTTTTACCTTGAGGAAGATTTTCAGATGAATATTTTTCAGTATAGAGATTCAATTATGAATAGTTTGATCACGATTAGTTAGCAGCCCCGGGCGAACTTATTTGGCACAAAGTTGGAACTCACATTTTGATTTTTTTTTCTAAGTCTATTATATTAATTACAAAATATTTTTATGAAAATATGCAAATATTGAAAGATCAGGTTGGTGACTGACCTGGAAAAATGGGAAAAGTCAGAGAATTTTTTCAATACTTAAATATTTGTTTCTAATTGGAAATAAATTTACAGTGGATATTTTTTATAATGATCTTGAAGTTTCATAATAAACAACCATGGTTGCTATATTCATCCAGCTTTGATTGTCAATATCCGGCACTGGTTCTATATTAAAATCAAACAAGTTATGAATAAAATTTAACCAAAATGGACTTAAAATAGTGCCTTTTGAAAAGGAAAACATACCAATACTATTTACTATTTATAATATGTCATGAAAATATTTATTTATTTTTCATAAAGTAATGGACTTCTTAACGGTAATTCTGTCTTAGAAAATTTCTCAATCTTAGAATGTAGAGTTCGGTCAAACATCAACTTCTTAAAGAATTGCATTGAATATGTCAGTGTCATTATAATTCTTACAAACTGTCATCGAAACTTAATTCCATTAATTGGTTAATTGAAAGAGAACGATGGCAGCTTCACATTAACTCAAAAAAACTAATTTTTTTAACAACAGTATTGTGTCTTGAGCAGAATCTTTTTATCCAACCTTACAAAATATTAGTTTGAGGTTCATCAAATCGCACATTAATTTTAAATAGTTAGTCTTTTCGAGCAAAATCTGACTTAATCCTGATAGCGAAATATTAAGAAGAACCGATTTTGTTGTTTTTTAAATTTATAAGATTCACCACAATGAGCATTTATTTTGCATTGTATTGTTAGTTAATTCATATGGTTATGGTGGTGTATTTCATTGGCTCACAAGCACTCATTTGTTCGACACGTGGTGCTCCTTAAATGAGTAAATATTAACCAAAGTTGTAACAGTTTGAGTTATATGGAATAGTTCCTACGCTGTTTATAGAAATAAAGAAACTTAATTACTTTATGAGACCCTACATTAATATTAGAATCTCTCTTAGCTCCTTTTATTTTATAATATAGAAAATCAGAGCTTTATATATCTAAGTTCAACTTTTACCTCCTCTAACTTTATGAAAATAGAATAAAAACGATTAAAATAAGTTACTAAACGTTTAGTTTTCTTAACTACAAAATCCTAATCAAGCTTAAAAGATGCTTCCTCTAGAACATTATATTTAATATATAAAAGACTGATTTTTTTAAACTCAAATCATTGTGTTGTCAATTTTCTTCCATGTTTAATAAATTAATTTACCTTTAAATTATACATTTTTAATATTTATGTCCCCAGACATATTAGTCAGGTAAAACCATCATTGAATAAGGAAATGTCAGGGAATTTAACTTTAACTGTCTGGTAGCCACCCTGAAGGTTATATTGTAATCTTATAAGGAATATTGGAGGGTTAGTGAAAAAAACAATATGTGAGTTTCAACTTTATGCTGTATGAATTTTTCCTTGGGCTGATAACTAGATTGTGCTCCAATTACAGATATATCTATGGTTATATGTGGTTATTCTGAACATTGTTAGCTTCTTTAGTAATTGATTAGTACCTCATGTGAATCCTCTGTTGCTTTTAGATACTATTGGCATCACCAGTAAGGTGTAATGGATGGATTCATTATTTCAATTGAGTTAAATTATTCCATCTTCTGCTAAAACTGTTTATCCACAATATCCCAAACCAAGTCAGAGATTCACGAAGTTGGTCAACTGATACTATTGTTTTAAATTAAATTAAATTATAAGCCCTGTATAATTATGCTGTAAATGCCCGGAGTTCAAGATCGGTTTCTTCCAAGACTACTTTAATAATAATAATAATAATAAAAGGCTTAACGAACCCGAAGGTTCGATGCCGACACCACCAATCGCTTATTACACACCTCCCTCCACCGTTCGCCGTCCAAACCCAGTCCCTTCAGATCGGCTTTAATGCAATCTTCCCACCTTCGCTTCGGTCTACCCCTCGGACGCTTACCATTCGGTACAGCAAATATTAACTTTTTAGGAATTCTCTCGTTACTAAGCCCAACAATTTTACAAGCCCATTTGATTCGCCGCGATGAAATTACCTCAATTATATTTCCCGGATACAGTTCACGCAATTTGGTGTTGTGTAACCGTCTGAACTCTCCGGTTAACTCATCCTTCTTCGGTCTTTACTTCAATACTTTATTTTCGAAAACCTTAAGACGCTGCTCATCCCTTAATGTAAGCGGCCAAGTTTCGCATCCATACAGAACTGTAGGCAAGATAATTGTTTTATAGATTATAATTTTTAAGTTCCGGGACAAGAGGCGCGAACTGAGTAGTTTTGTCACAGAAAAATAACAAGCATTTCCCGCCTTCAACCTAACCTTAATTCTTCAATTTCATTTTTTCTAGTTATCGTAGAACCTAGATACCTAAATTTATCTACCTGTTCAAACATATTACCATCTATATCGATATCACCAGTAGTATCGCCATTTTTGCAGCTAACCATATATTTTGTTTTATCCACTTTTATTTCGAGTCCTAGATTTTTACCGGCTTTCATTAACGTTGTCGTATTTAGTTTTATAGTTTCAACGTCTTCGCTTAACAGTACCAGATCATCTGCATAGCCCAGCACGGATGTTGTCCCACCTACATCCAACCCTTTCTCGGTGCACATTACCTCCCTAATGGTATGTTCTAATGCCAAATTGAACAGTACAGGCGAAAGGGAATCCCCCCTGTTTTAAACCCGAACGAACCTCAAATTTTTCCGACAGATTATTACCGATTCTAACTTTATTGAGTGTCTCCGTCAAGCACATCGCACATCCTGACTAGATTTACTAGTTTTTTTGGAATTCCCTGCTCGATTAGAATATTATACAGTTCCTGGCGGTCAATAGAATCGTAAGCCTTTTGAAAATCTATATACAGCTAGTGAACAATACCGTTGTACTCCAATTTTTTCTCTAATATTTGCCGTAAAGAAAATATTTGATCAATAGTTGAACGATTCCGTCTAAATCCACATTGTTAGTCTCCGATAATTTCCTCTGCGTATTCCATGATTCGACTAGTTAAGATTAAAGTGAATATTTCCAAGACTACTTTAGATACACTTAATAGATTAATAGTTCAAGAGATTAAATTAATCCTTAATAGGACCCTTGTTAGTTCATGTCAGACCTGACGAAAGCCTCAAAGCTGAAAGTATAATTTTTTTTATTTTTGTTTTGTTGTTCTGGTAAAAAAGACAAAGTTACTTAACTTCTCTTATGATTTATGTTATTAAACATCGAGCAACTGATAATTATAAAATCTATCTCAATCAGATATAACGTAAAAGGTGGGAGGAAGATTTGTGATGTGTTCTTGGAATGATTTGTGCACAAAGAGGAGTAGGTATAGATGATTATTTTAGCAACGCAAACTAGTACCTCACCTCGGATAGATATCAAGAAGTCTTATTTGGTTTTAGTGGTTTTACCAATCTTATTAGTTATCAATTCAAAATCCTCAATATTCTATGCTATTAATTTTACAATGTATAAAATGTTTTTTTGATACAGTTTTAAATTAATGAGAAAATGGTTGATATGGAGGAAAAATCGTGATGAACTTATTCATATTATGAATTTATATTTAGTTTAATTTAATTCACAAAATTTTAACTTTTTACATTTGATATTGTAAGCCTAAACAATAAATTAAAATCTAAGTTTAAACATTAATAGTTAAAATAATTTTCAATAATTAGGTTGTATTGCCTGAAAATGGAGGCTTGGAGCAATTATCTTTAGCTTTGTTTCAATATTTTTGTTTTTGTAATTTTTATAAATTTTTTTTTTTTTTTTAGATAGATAATAGCAATTCTCCATGGATCCCTCGTATAAAAGAGAAGCCAAATGCCCTTAAGCCACTTTCAATCTTGGTAGAATTGAATGATCTTGGGCATGAAAGGTTAGTTTAAATCACAATTTTTTAATTTGTTTAACATTGCATTAGTAATAAAACTATTTAATGCTATAATTTTCTAATTGTAATTGAAAGAAGAATAAAGAGCTAAAAATTTGTATACTATTCTAGGGAAGCATTTTTGATGTTTGACATTCGGAACTATATGCTCTACCTTCCAGCATTCATTAGATTTTATAAATTAAACTAGCTTTACCCAGCCACGCGCTGCTGTGGCTTAGCCTGGCAAAAGAAAAAAGAAAGAAAATAAAAAGCACATATGAGTAGATTAGTAGCGAAGGACATCTGTCATTTTTAAAAAGTAGGGAAACCAAGTTGTCTGTAAAATGGCTTCAATTTAAGCTAATTCTAATGATTTTTTTCCTCAGGCTTTAAATTGAACATTCATCATCTGAGTGAATACGCCGTCATTCATAATCATCGGAAACAGTCTGAGTTGAACTTATAAAACTAAATAAAAAAATTTAAAAAAAAAAACCTACAATAGTATTGACCTACATAAGGAGAATCATATAAATTCTTCAAATTATAATTTCAGTTACTGTAGTAATTATAAAACTTTCGATTATTCAATAAAAAAAAAAAAAAAAAAAATGCTTGCCGGCGTTCGGTAGTGAGGAAGCAAAAGGAAACGGCCTTTTCTGAAGAGAAAGCAGTAAATGTTTAAAACTCAATAACTCTGCAACGAACCGTCCGATTTCAAAGTGGAGCCATTGTTAAGTTATCACACTGTTTGTAGTTTCCGAAATAAAATTGAAGGTTCCACCCTTGACGAAAATTTGAGCCACAAAAAAATTATTTTTTGATTCCAGTGAAAATTGGTATGTGAGGGTTTATCGAGATGCAAAATACAAATCTCAACTTTGTTTTTCTTTAAAAAAATAATTTAACCCACTTTACTCCTACGGCCGCTAGAAATAGTTTTATTTCCTAGATAATGTTTATCTATTTCGATGATTTTTTTTTTTTATTTTGTCAGCGATTCAGAAATCTTTCAAATAAATGTGGGCATTATCAGTCAAAAATTGTGTACTTTTTTAGTTATCGTCAAATAAAATATTGAATTCATCTTAACATTTTTCAGCTTGTTTTCGGGAAAGTATGTTATACACATAAATTAAAAGGGTTTCAAGGGGAAGACTTTAGCCAAGTTTCGTTAAAATCAGTAAAGCCGTTTTGGCACTACAGTTTATAGCGACACATTTTTTGCGGTTTTGAACAGAAAAACATTTACATTTTTATTTTTTTTTACATATATAAAATTTTTGTAAGACAGAAGTACTGTGCCAGAAACCTTCCCAGGAGCGTACGGAACAACTTCCCAAAGTTTCATGGCGATCGGTTGAATGGTTTAGTAATGCACTAAGGACAGACAGACATACATTCATTTTTATATATATAGATTAATATATTTATTTATCTCAGGTGTGGGTTACTGACAATGTGATCAAAACAAAAAACCTTTGTCCTTCTCTTTGGGATTTTTCTTCTTGGGAAATTACAGAGCAGCCATTTTCTTTTCCCCGCACTAGTAGAACTAGATTAGTTTGCCTTTTAATTGTTCAACATTGATTTATGAAACTCTTTTTACTCACTCCCAATAAAGGTGTACATTATAATATATTACACATATAGGTAAGTGAAAGTAAAGTAATTTGAACAATCTCTCCGTCACTTTACAGAGCAGAGCTTAAATGCCCAATGTTCATTTGCGTCTTCCTCTAAAGTATCTTTGATATGGTTTATTTTAAGTAATTAACTATCTCTCATTAATAATAGTTACGAAAAAATGCTAAATATAACTTTTGAAAAAATTTGATCATTGAATAAAGGAGAAAAAAATAAAAATGCTTATGCAGGTCGAAAATGAATCTCTGGAAATACTAATCAGAATGTCTACGTATAATATATTGTTGGAAAGCAGAGAATTTCAGAAAAAAACAATATATAATATAGAAAGTTGTAGAAGGTAACGGAGAGTAGTGAAAAAATTATAAATAATACTTTTTGAAAACTAATAATATTTAACATAAATCACATGTTTTCAAGGAAATTTACTAACTAAATGTAAACGTTTAAATTTTTTTTTAATTTTGAAAATAGTATTTAATGACATTGCTTAAAATACTATTTCATTGTACTTGTGTGAAAGAAGAAGTAAAATATAAAATCATTTCATGGATATGTAACCTTAAATACATTTACTGTAGTTTAATAACTCTAGATCTGATATTATATTTAAATAATTAGGTATCTATTGTCCGTTTATTCAAAAAAATCATCATGTAATCTTTTATAAAATTAAATTAGTGAATAATTTGATGAATTTTCCCTTTGCAATATTCCAGCAGTATCCACTTACAATTAGTGTGACAACTTTTGACCTGTCTATGACAGACAATGCAAATCTCTTAATTCCGTTTTAGTAAACTTTGCAATGGAAAATAATAGTTTAATAACTAATAGTCGTACAATCCATAATCAATTGGTGGTATAATAAATAGGACTTTTGTTATTTTAATGTTATTTATGATTTGTTAACTGGAATCTTTTGGCTTTAGCTTGCTTAAAAATTCAATTAAAAAATTTTATAATAGCCCAACAGGTCCAGAAAATAATTTCTATTCAAAGTTGAGCGGTGTGTTGTACACACCAGAATTTTTACTGATATGTTTAGTTATTTATTTAAATTAAGAGCTTTGTTGTTTGCTATTTTTAAAAACTTGTTTATTACTATCAATGAATGTTTATGTATTTTTCTGTTACAGTTATTCTCACCCATACGACTATGAACTTACTCTTTGGAAACCTGAAGAAAGCATGCTGAGCACTGTAAAAGTAACAAAACCTCTACCTTTTTCAGAAACTCCTTATCTCTATGTTGAAACAGAGGAACAATTAAATAGCTTAAAGGAGGATTTGTCAAAGGCAAATGAATTCGCTGTTGATTTAGAGGTGAGTTTTCTTAATTAATAGTTTATTTAATTTAAGAAAAATAGAATAATATTAATTGTATCTGAAGGAATAAAATATTAAAATATAATGAAACTAAAGAGGAAAACTCCAAATTCTAAGATTTTGAAGAAAAATACAAAAAATCTTGTGAAAAGTTTGTCATTGGTAGAATAAATTTCTGACATGTCGGTTTACTGCCTTTAGCTTTGTGATGCTAGGTGCAAATTAACTTTTTAGAAAATATACAATAATGGATGTAGAAAAAAAATTAAATTCCTTTTTGTTATTTGGTGTCTCATTTATATATTGTACAGTCATGGTTTTCACTATTATATTACTGTTTTATTAAACACAATATCAATACACAACTGGACAACTGGACGGCTGAAGATATACGTGAATTCTATGCAGACCTCAGGAAAGAAATGGTAGGATATTAAGCGAGAAATATCGTAAATGTGAGGAAATAATAATGGCTTCTGATAGCATCTAAAAAAAAAGATATTGACCATCTGGAAAGAACATTCCCAGCAGTTTTTTAATGAAGAAGACCTCACCCTAAAAGAGGTTAAAAAAACAGAAATATTAGATGTGGAAATAGCTACCCCTAAGAAGGCCCTAGGGATGGACGACAACCCACTATCCAATACTGTTCAAAGATGGGAGTGAAGACTTCAGCTACTACAACTAATCTAGAAAATATGGGAGGAGGAAAGGATACCACAGGCTTGGAGTACAGGCCTAATCTATCCTATGCTAAAAAAAGCCTCTATAGAGTGTTGTTATTATAGAGGCATAGCACTTCTCTGGGTTGCCTACAAGGTAATGTCCAACATCCTACTAAATTGGATATATCGATATTAGGAAAATGTAATAGGTGAACACCAATCTGCATTCAGAAGAGGAAGGAGCAGAGCACGTTAGACAAGATCTTCATCCTAAAACAAGTACTCGAAAAATGATGAGAAATAGCTCATGCCCTATTTGTCTATTTCAAAGCAACCTATGATTTCGAGGACAAGAACTGACTTTAGAAAATCATGACTGAACTGGGAGTTTCCGGTTTAATTGGTGAGATTGACAAAGGCATGTACCCCCCCCCCCCTGTAATCCTAAATGTCGAGTCCGAGTCCTAATACAAGAAGAAGTATCTGAAATATCAATGTTCGAAGTGGGTTATGGCAGATTGCTGGACTCTCTTCAATGTTGTTCAACTTGGCATTGGAGAAGATGATAAGAACATCATCTCATGAAAATGGAGGGATGCAAATCGGAATGAATTATAAAATCCTTGGAAGTAATCAAGATGGCATTGAGAAACTCGCTGTAACTCTGACGAGAGAAGCAGAGCAAATCGGCCTACAAGTAAATGAAGGAAAAACAAAATATATGATAATAAGCCGAAAATTCCACTCCCAACAGGACTACGAATAAGAGAAATGGTTTCTGCGAATAGACAGATTTAAATACATCGGATCCACAAAAGCCTCAATGAATGACTAATGGTTTGAAATAGTCCAGGGTATACAAAACGCAAACAGAGCTTTCTTCTCCCCCTCAAAGGTATTGGAATCCTGAAAAATCTCATGAAATGTTAAATTAAGGGTGTAGGGTGCTATGATAAAGGCAGTTCTAATATATGGCTGGAAGACCTGGACACTAACCTCCCCAGAAAAAAGTATTGAAAAATTTGAAAGAAAAATCCTCTGCATGACATCTCGAGCGATCTGGAATTACAGTACTGTCACATGAAAAAGAGAGATCAATAAAGAGCGGCTTACAGAAACTGGTCAATCGATATCTCATGGTATAAACACAATGAGGTTAAGATGCCATTGGATGGCATGCCCTATGCAGCTTGGAGCAATCCATCTGAAAGCCTCTATATGACAATGAATGTCTCAATAGTAGGAAGAAAAACACATGGAAGGCCAAAAACCAAATGAATAGATTGAATCAAAACAGATACAATAGAACTGCATACGATAACTGGAAAGAAATCACCCAAGATAGGCAGAGATGGCAAAGGCTTCTTAAGGTGGCAAAAGATCTACCAGGTCTCTAATGACAATGGAAACAAAAAAAAAAAATCAATACTAAATTACAACCCATAATGATAAAGGAATTTCATTTGTTAAAATTATTGTGGTTTGTTAATTTAGTTAAATGATACATTTCGTTCTTTTTCATAAAAGTTATACAGGCCTGCTTGATTTTTTACCAAGGTATTTTTTCTGAGGTAAAGGATCGTACTGGTCAATTTCTGAGGCCCAAAAATCTTTATTCTAAAGGTCTAAGCAAAGTTTTTCTGCAATTATTTACAGAAAGACTGGTAGAAAAAGACCATGAGTCGCGAGTGAGGACAAGAGAGTCTTAAAGATCATCTTAGCTTCCTTAAGTCAATTGAAACCGCTTAGAATAAGGGGCGGGTTGAAATTTATTTGTATGGTTGGACCACAGATTGAATCACGACCTTCTCAGTCTGGCTAGAATAGGTTTGTAAGCTGTAGGATAACCACTTCAGATGCCAGTTATGACCAAGCTAAGAAGGGAAGTGGTAAAACTCATTGGAGTTGCTCATTTGTAGTCATCTGAGTAAATTCACTTTACTAAATGAAGTAATAGCATTCTTGTATTGTTGAAGTAGGCAAAGAAGGTATTATTTGCTATCCTTGAACTGACAAACGAACCTTCAAAAGTTACGCATATCTGAGTATTGTAGATCTTTCTGGGGGGTTGAGCATAGGCACAGACTGTCCATTTCGGTTGGGTGGGGGGGAGGGGTGATGGATCCCCTTCACTAAAATCTTATCTCGGTGTTTATATTATATATAAAAATTATGAGTGATAATTAACATAACTATTGTAAAACGAACATCATAATACTAAAGTATATGTATAGTTATAAACTAAACTATATAATTATCTTTGAATATAAACTGAAATTTCAATAATATGAACCTAGGGCCTGGTAAAATACTTATGTACATACTTCTAGGCCTTAGCTTAGCTATCTAGTCGACTTTTACTATTTTCTTAATAGATTTTAGTTTACATATTTTATTTATTCGTGTAGATTAATTGTTATTGATTTTGATTTTATTTTTAAAAAAAGAAAAAATTCTATGTAATTTTGGGAGAGGAGGGCAGTACAATATTTTATAAAAAGACTGTTTTTATAAAATATCAATCAATATCAATAGTCAATCGGTGCTCCAAAGTCTGCTCCTATGTGATTGAGTGGGAAGGAGGTATTTAGATAATTTTGTTGGTGGCATCGCTATGAAATCCCAAAAAGCACTGATATTTTTCATCACAAAAATAAAGTCTCATTAAATTTGTATTTAATGAAGTGAAGTCCGATGATTTATGGGCATACTGGTTAACTTAGCGTAATAATAAAGACAATAGGTTGTTTAAATGTATTATTTTTTTAATTACATTATTTAGAACTGAATTTTAATTCAATTTTTATTTCATTGCCATATTTCTTATATTATTATTTTTTTTTTTTAATACAGCATCATTCATACAGAACTTTCATGGGATTCACATGTGTTTTACAAATATCAACATGGACGAAAGATTACGTCATTGATGCTCTGAAACTGAGAGATAAATTGCATGTTCTGAATGAAGTTTTTACAAATCCTGCTATTCTTAAGGTATTATAAACTTTTTTATTACATCCATGTGATTAAAAAAAATGTTTTAGTGAACTTAATGCTATGAAAAGAACGGTTGTCTTACACTACTATTTATTATTATGCGATTATATTAATTATATCATATAGTTATATGTTTTTTATTTATGATCAATAATGAAAAATGTTAACCTGCAATACGTCAAATTTACACCTTTGAAGACAGTTGGGTTTTCACATATGTTTAGCTTATATAGTTACTTATTTCAAAGTTATCAATAAATAATTTCAATTGTTTAATTTTAGAAGTCAATTAATTTTTCATATTCCTCTGATTTGGTATACTGAAATTTTATATGCTTTCAATGAATGAAATATCTTTTTTTTTTCCCCCTTCTTTATTACAGTGTGGCACTGGTGGTTTGTTATTCAACTCTATTGTAAACCTTCTATTATTTCTCAATAAATCTCTGGCTTTAGAAAAGTTGTTATTATTTAGTATACATGTCACCATCAATGATTGCTTTAGGAGTGAACATTGTCTCTTGGTTTTTCTTGCTGTTTTTTCAATTATCTTTAGCTTTATTATATTTATTAAGCGACTTTAAACTGTTATGCAATACACAGACTTGTTGGTTATGCACTCATTAAATATTATGGAAGTATTAATAGCATTTAGCATTTTAGTGTTTTGGATTGGATAATTAATTAACAAATAAATTTGAAGATGATTGATTTGAGGGATAGAGTAGAAGGCACAGCAGATGTGATTGCATTTGGACTGATGTAAGATTTGTGTTTGACTGTGTTAAGTGAAGGTTGGGAAGATATGTATGTAACAATTGTGGTTATTGTTGTCAGCTTATTGATGGATTAATTAATGAAATTTACTTAAGATTATTTTCAATACCTCTCATCAATTTATTTTAATCTTTTTATGAGCATATTACAATTAGAATTAAAGTTTAAGGTTTCTAAACTTGGTTAGTCACGTATCCCAAACATAAATATGAAATACTGTCATTGACCATTATTATGCAGGTATTCCATGGAGCAGATAGTGATGTTGAATGGCTTCAGAGAGATTTATCCATTTATGTGATAAATATGTTTGACACGTACCAAGCTAGCAAGTTGTTGGGCTTTGCTAGACTTAGCCTTGCACATTTGCTTTATAGGTATTGTAAAGTGGAGGCAAACAAAGAATATCAACTTTTTGATTGGAGGAAAAGGTATTATATTTTTGATATTGCTTTCAAGGTCTAAACAGCCATAATTTAATAACAATAATAATAATAAAACTGTACTATTACATCTCATGTAGAGTCTTAGGTTCAATACTTTGTTAGAGAGTACTATTTTTGCTGTCAACGGTTGTGGAGGTAGGTTATTTGATTAAGACCACACTCAATCACCAAGTTTTCCCCTTTAATCAAATTATTTAATCAGATTTTTTTATTTATAACATTTTTGGAAATAATAAATAATTTTGTGATCATTTTTAATGTAGGTGTTTTATTTTTATTAAATATCAATATTGGATAATTTTAATATTACTGTTTTACTGAAATTGTTCCTCTTCTGAAAAGTTGATCAATACTATTTTATTTTTTCATGTATATTTATTAACTGATGTTTCCATAATATGTTTTATGATGATAATGCCAATTAACCAGTCTTTTAACAAAATTTGTTTTTCTAGGCCACTTCCTGAAAGTGCTATTAAGTACGCTCGTGAGGACACTCATTATCTCTTGTATATATACCAGCTGATGAGAAATGAATTAATTCAACATGCTAATGGAAAAACTAACCTTTTAGAAGCCGTTTTTGATAGAAGTAGGGATACATGTAGAAAGGTATGTCAGTTTATAAGGATAAACATTTAAATTAATGTAGATGACAAATTGAAATTAACAAATTTAATAAAATAAAAAACTCATTTTTTTGAGTTGATATAGAGCAGTCAAAATTACATGTTCAAATCCTGACTGATCCTGTCTTGTTATGAACTGACTAAACAGAAAAAAAATATCTGGTACATGCATCACACGATTTTCACTTACCACCCACCCTCTTCTTAGCAGAAATAAGTATTTTCAGACAAAGAGGAAGTGAAAGTAAAAATTATAGATGCTTTATATGTACATTTCATTGTGGTTATTTTTATTTGTTTAATTACACTTATATATACAAATTTTAATTTTTATATCGTTATAATCTATACAATTAAATATTAAATAATATCAATGATAGCATTTATGAAAACCGCATATGTATATGTACATTGTTGGAGTCTGTATTATATTAAAATTGTTAGAGCCGTTTTTGAGAAAATCGTAAAAATATGTTAAATCGATGATATAAATACCACTTCCGGTTTGCTGATTTTTACACACATGTTACTGTAACAACCTGCTTTTTATTTACCATAAAATAACCAAACAAAGTTAAGCAATACATTAAATTAACAAAATATTAATAATAAAATTAAACATGAATATAATGAGTGGCTGATATAATAATGATTTCTGTAAAATAAAATAAAATAATGAGTTCTGTCCTTTTCAGAAAGCAGAGAAAAAGTCCATTTTTGTTTATGGGTTCAATTCAAACTGTTTATAATGATTTTATTTAAGGATATTCAAGTTAAATCTGAAAAAAAAATCATTAGAATTAGTTTTAATTGAAGCTTAATTAATTTTCCAAACTAATTTTTTTTCTCAACTTTTTATAAAAATGAAAGATGTCCTTTGATAATAAGCTGCTCATATGTGTTTTCTATTTTCTTTCTTTTCCATACTGAGCCACAGTAGCGTGTGGTTGGGTAAAGCTAGTTTACTATATATATAAGTAAGTGAAAGTAATAAATAATAATAAGCTGTAGGGAATACTTTATATACTAAATAAAATAAGTAAATACTCTTTGAAATTATACCTCGATTAAAGCAAAGCAGTGATATGAATTTTCTCAAACATTGGATAATAATTAACTGTGATTTATGAACCCAGACTTCTTTTTTAATGAATTAGCTAAGATGTTAATGAAACACAGAACCTAGTGAAGTTTTATTTATTTTCCCTACCTTTGTCCCTAAGGCTTAAGACCTTTATCTGTGCTACAGGAGGCTGTCATGGTTGAACATGTTGGAATGAAGGTTCTGGATTGCTCTGATCAGTACAATATGGATTCAATTTCCTACCTGAATCAGCTGATATTATTTTATTCTCTAGTATTCCTGAACATTAATCCTTTACCTTATTCTCAATATGAATGTTCAAAATAAATCACTAGAAAGTTCCAAAAATTTTAGATTACCTACATTGTATATTTCACATTATAAAGTTTTTTGTTGTTATTTTCATAAATTTTACTTGTTAAGGTTAAACTGAAACTTGTCCCACTCCTTACTTTGCCTTATACTGAACCTAGCCCACTCATTTTGAATATTTAATATTTTATTCCTTCCGAGGCGTCTGAAAAGAAGATGCCCTTGTGATCTGTTGTAAATACAATTTTAGAGTGCTACCAGTAGGGTAATTTCTCAACAAGTGATTTGATGTGTGTTCTTCTTCTTGTGTTCACATTTACTGAATGTATTTTTAATTTCACTTACGTATATATGTAATATATAGTAAGTGTAAGTATTATTTCTAATGCAGTTGTAAATATCACAAATAAAAAAAATTGTGATCATTTCTAGAATGAAAAAAATGATATTGATTGGTTATAGTGTTATTATTATAAAACCTCTTATATTTTATATTTGTATCTCCTCATTCATTGTTATCATTTTTATTTTTAGGTTTACTGTAAGCCGAGTTTGGAAGAAGATAGCCACATGGCTATTTATCGAAGACTAAAACTAAGTTTTGACAATCGGCAACTTTATGCTTTGAGAGAAATTTACAGGTGGAGAGATAGGGTAGCGAGGCAAGAAGACGAGAGCTGCGGGTAAGAGACATTTCTGATAATATTTATTAGTAATTAAAATTTTAAATTAATTTTTTTTATTTACTTAAAGTTATTAAATAAACTGTGCAATTTTAGCTTGTATTTCCTCCTAATAATGACAAATTATGAGTTAACTCTAATTATAGTAAAAATTCAAGTATTTACTCCTTTAATATTCTCCTTTATTAAGTTAATTTTTTCTTTTTTATGCTTTAAAAATTTAGGTTTAAACTGAATGTGATATATTATATATATTTTTACTATTACTTACTTATATATGTAATTTATAGTAAGGGAAAGTATTGTGATCAGGGAAATTTTCGAATCCGAGTTTTTAATGGAAATCCATGTTTTGAGGTTTCCCGAGACCTAATAACGTAGTTCCACAAAATTGCCTGTGTGTATATGAACAGTCTAGCTCAAAAACAAAAAGTCGTACAGAACTGATATGTATTTAAGGTAGGTATATGCCTGAGATGTTACAGCACCTTTTTCTTTAAAATCGGTTACCGGTAGTGCCACTTAATACCATCGATTTTACAATTTACTCGAAAACGGCCCCAACCATTTTGATTAAATTCGGTTCGATCAGTGTTAATTAAATAGTCTTTAATATCAGCCAGGTCTTATTCTTATTTATGTCGTTTAACAGGACTTTTTTGTTCAAAATTTCTTCCTCTAATTTGGTTTATTTTAAATAATTAATCTTCTCTTATTGTCAGTAGCAATAAAAAATGGCTGAATATAAACTTTCAAAGAATTTGCTGATTAACTAAAGAAGGAAAAATGATTTTTCAGGTTGAAAATGAATTTATAGAAATAATATCTAACATATAAAGTTGTAGAAGGTAATGGAGTGGGATGGAAAAAATTTAAATAATAATTTTCAAAAACTAATATTATTTAATGGAAACCAAATGTTTTCATGAAAATTAAATGGAATTTTCTAATTAAATGTAAACTTTTAAAATTATTTTTAATTAGAAAAAAAAAGTATATAAAGGGGGTTGTTTCAAGATTAAGTGGCCAAACTGCAAAAATGAACTAAGGACCCCTCAAAACAAGAAAAAATATTCCTCTGAAGATATGTCCACAAACGATTTGTTTAGGAGATATTCACACCTAAATATTTTCGTTGTTATGAATTTATATTATGTTATATAAAATAAATAAAACCTCTTTATTTGTTCTAATTACTTTATTAATTAAATGTAAACATTAACATTCATATTAAATGTTGTTCAAAGTGAAGGTATGTCTGCAAATGCTTTGTTTAGGAGATGGATTTGATAGAATACTAATTTGGCCTTTTATCCCTAACTGTATAAAAACTATTGGCAACATAAGGATTAATACTATTTGGAATTAGCATTTGAAACTCTCAATAAAATTTATCAGTTTATAAGAGCCTTTCGCAGAGTACTCATCAATATGTCTTCCATATATACTAATGATGAATATGCCTATATGGTGTTTGTATACGGTTTTTGCAATGGTAATACTAATGCTGCCCGTCGTGAATATGCCAGGCGATTTCCGAATTGAAAATTACCAAACAAATCTATCTTTAGCTCCATGTTTCAACGTTTTAGAGAAACTGGTATATTTGCTTTAATAACATGTGCTGATAGTATTTTTGCCCCTTTACGAAATGAAGAAAGGAGTGCAACAATATTGCAATATTTTGATGATAATCCATCTGGAATGTTTAATTAATAAAGTAGTTGGAACAAATAAATAAGTTTTATTTCCTTAATGTAATGTAAATAATTCATAACAATGAAAATATTTAGGTGTGAATTCTCCTAAACAAAGTGTTTTCGGATATACCTTCATATGATTTTTTTTTCTTGTTTTGAGTTCCTTAATTTCTATTTTCAGCTTGGCCACTTAATCCTGAAATACCCTGTATGATGCTTCGAATGAAGGCTATGACATTTTTGTATTATTGTACTAATGTGAAAGAAGAAACAAAATATAAAAATATTTCATGGTTATAATCTTAAATACATTTACTTAACTTAGATCTGATATTATATTTAAATAATTAGGAATATATCTTTGGTTTATTCTGAAAAATCATTATGAAACATTATGGAAAATTAAATTAATGAATAATTTAATGAATTTTCAATCCTAGTTTTCCATAGAAATACACGTTTTGAGATCTCCTGACTCCAAATAACATAGTCTCGCTAAATGTTCTGTGTGTATGTGATCAATAAAGCTCAAAAACGAAAAAACATACGAAACTGAAATTGTGTATTTAAGATTTGTATATGCCTGGGATGTCACAACAACTTCCCCTTCAGTGTCGCATTACTCAAAGATTCAGTTTTTGACTTACAGCTATTTTTGCATTTAACAGTTTATGTATACACTTTTGTGAAATTCCTAAGAATGTGCATTTCAACCATATGTACATTCTTAGGGCATTTCAACCATTACAGTTGCTGTTAAGGCTTGTCCACTTCTTTACTACTTGGAATGATTCCGTGCATTTTCCAGACCTCTGAATATATTTTAGTCCATCAACTTCTTCAACCCTCATAATCCAATATAGTCTTAAGATTTGTTTTATATTGGGTGAAATGTGATTATTTTATTTTATGTTTAGGTATGTACTACCGAATCACATGATGGTTCAAATATGCAGAACACTCCCTCGAGAAGTACAAGGTATACTTGCTTGTTGCAATCCTATACCTCCTCTTGTCAGAACTTACCTTTTGGAAATCCATCAAATTATTCTTCGAGCAAAAGAACAACCCTTAGTTAAAGTAAGAAACTAAAAAAAATAATTTATTTTTTCAGCTTTTTATTATATTTTATGTTTAAGATTATTTTTTCTGATCATAGACATTTTTAAAATTCCAACAGATCATTTAATCACTGTTTAATCAAATTCAAATTGCACATATAGATTGAAATTCACTGGCCAACATTTGTAGTTAATCATTTATTTAAAAAAAAATTGATGAACCAACATGTGAATGTTCGGTGACCTCTCAAGAACCATTAGCACAGGTATAGGAGTTCATCAGGGCGATGGTTTGGCCTGTCTTGTATTTAACTTGGCTCTTGAGACGAATGTGAGGAACTCTGGTATTCAGACCCCAGGAACACTTCTAAACAGATTTGTTCAAGAGCTTGGATATGCAGACGATCTAGACCTTACTGGAAGGAAACTAGAAGCAGTCAGGAAGGAAGGCTTTTGAAGCTCTGGAAGTAACAGCAGCATGTATGGGGCACCTAATAAACACGAATAAAACAAAGTACAAGTGTGTAAACACAAAGCATGAGAACCGGGAAGGATTTTTTCAGTTGGGTTCACACAGGGTAGAAGTGGTATGGGGATTTGTCTACTTAGATTCCCAAATGAACTGCCAGAATGACATTGGGAAAGAGATAGATGTATTCTGGCTTCTAATCGATGTTCCTTCACACTTCAAAAACCATTCCGGTCTAGCCACTTTTTGAAATTCACAAAGGTCAGAATATACCAACTTTGATTCGACCTGTTTTAACTTATGGCTCTGAAACCGGTTCACTTACAAGGACTCAGGAACTGGAACTTTCTATGTTTGAACAAAAGATCCTGAAAAGCTGTTTATGTTAACGGAGACTGGAGAAGAACAAACCTTGAGCTGAAAAGTCTATACAAGGACTTAGACTAGACGTGTTTGATGTGATTAAATTCTCTTGATTGCACTGGATGGACCACTTCGCTAGGGTGAATCCAGAGAAAATCCCATCTAAATGGCTATTGGAGAAACTATTAGGAGCATGGGAGGTTTAATGCCGTAGTCTCCGATGGGAAGACTGTGATACCACCAATTATTATCAATAATTGGTATTCATAACTGGAAGGCAACAGCATAAAACCCAATTGATTGGCGGTCAATGCTACAGTAGGCAAGACTCAATGTATATGTGTATAATTATAATAATAATGAATCAATAATAGTTCATGAAATTTGGGAAGGCCTTTTATTTAGAGCATGCTTTCTCAAACTGGATGCTGTGGCAATAATATTTAAGTTCAAGTTGAATAGTATATATTGTAAATATTCATTAATTAATATTTATTGTTAACAGAATTAAAATTAATATCAACCAAATTTAAAATTACTATTGATCTTGTGCAAAAGCTCTTGGATCAGATATTTATTATTTTTCTTCTTAATATATTTTAAATATGAACGATATTTAAAAAAATATTTATTTGTATAAAGAATACATAATTATTTACATAAAGAATACATACACAAAATTGGCGAAGCCCCATACTCCATTATTATTATGTTTAAGTTACAGTTAACTGAATAAGTTATTTTCTTCCTCTGCAGAAAATATCTCTTTAGTTAATCAATAAGACAGCTATTCGTAAACTAATTCTAACCCAGTACTAAATTAACTGAGGAATATTGTGCTGGTGCAAAGAGTGCTATCTGTAGTTCTCTAAGTTTTTATTTACTGTCATCTTTTCCTGGTCATGACCTCAATCTTTTCTTGGTCTTCCTGAGGTATCTTTGTACCATGAATAATAATTTTAAGGTAAGGAAGAATATTTTCATGATTCTGAGGGTATAATAACTCCAGTCACCTCCTCTCCTCTGTATTATATTTATAGTTCATCATACCTCATCCTTTCTAAGGTCTGCTGTCATTACCAGTGTATAGAAATAGAAGTTTGGATTGTAAATTTTAACTTTCCTTTATTCCTGACTTGATGCTGTTGAATTATTTTCAATTTTTTTATTTGATTTATTCTCAATAAAACTAATTTAATTTTTGGTTGTCTTAATTAATTAAACTTTTACTGTATTTGTAAAACTTTTCCAGGTTTGATTATTTAAAATTAATTTTTATAAATCATGAGTTATGTATTTAAACATCACTTTACCATTTGCAGAGTTTGGTGGAAGAAGCTGTCCAAAGTGAACCTGGGGTAGAAAGAGATCTCCGTCTCATTCTGCCTCAGGACAACTCTGGACTAGAATTCCGTGATGATCTTCCCACTCTTCTTGGTGGAGGTCTTTCTCAGATTGCCACATCTGACGAAATGCCTACTCCTATTATTTCTGCATTTGCTGATATAGGCAAGGTATTGTATTTACAAGTAAATAAAATACTCATTTACTTAAAACTGATGATTTGAGGCCATTGTTAACAGTAATGAATTAAGGATTAATACAGTGACACTTTAGTAATAAAACAAAATATGACAAATTTGGCTTCTGTAGCTTTGCCACTAGCCAAGGCACTGCTTTTCCTAATATTGTCTGGATTTTTCTTATTTTCAAAATTACATACTCATAATAAATTCTTGGTTGTCCTTTAGGCTCTTCAAATTTTACTTCCTTAGGTTTTCTTGGAATGCTCTATTCTATTTTCTTGTACAAACTAATTCAACAAGAATTTTCACATTAATATATCACATTTCATATAGAATCAGATATCAAAACATCCTATTTTGAGTTCTTTTCAAATCCTTATATTTTTTACAAGATTCCTCTCATTCATTGTAATTCAAGTTCCGAGATCTTTTCTTTTAAATCTGAGTTCTTTCGTATATTTTACTTAAATTACAGGAAAATGTCATTTTAAGTAATCCTTTTTATTAATTTCTATCTGGTTAGTACCATCTGGTATTTTTTTCTGGTTCAAGGCCATTATAAAACAAAATATCAGTTTGTTTAACATATTTGTGGACTAGTTTCATTCTTGCATTGATTTTTTCTACTGAACTTATTTGAACTTTAACAAAAGATCCCTCTAAAACTAGATTGAACGGATGGTGCTAAATTTTACTTGAACCTAACAGAAACATTTTATAATCTTATGAAGTACATACCTAATATGCTTATAATGAGATATAAAAAACTTTGTTAATATCTTATACAATATTAAAATTTCAGTTATTATTTTAAACAATTTATAATTTTTTTTTAGAAAGTAATTAATGGTTTGTCTTCTTTTTCACAGAATAATACTCACAAGTCTAAAGAGAAATTAGGAAAACTGAAGTTCATCAGTCCTTATGAGCGTTACATAAAGGTCTTACCTTATGCAATTCAGCTCGAAAAAGAAGAAAGGGAAAGAAGGGAAAAAGAGGAGGAGGAGAGGCTATCGAGCGCTACTAATGCTGTATGTTCAATTTTGTTTTCATTCTTCAGTTTATCTTATATTTGGGCTAATTAATTTACTATTGAATTTTTGTTATAATATTTTCTATAATGAACCCTGCTAACCAAAATTTGAGGTTTTACATTTTAAGATACATCATATCCAAAAATCAATCAAAATTTAGGACCAGTCATTTGTCATCACATGATGTTCCTCAGAACTCAAAATTAGCTTCCACTTTTTTATGCAAGTACATTTTAAAGAATTTGCCAGGGAAGCTAATACCAGTAATAAATCAAATCAGGCCAAAACCAAACCACCCTTATGTTGAAACATCATCATTAAGCTTTAACTATGGGTACATGGAGTTTGTCAAAGTGTAAACAACATATATATTTTTTTCTAACTCTAAATGTATTGAATTTTGTGCAAAAATAAGTTACAGAAAGTCTTACTTTTCTGCTTCTATTTTGAAGGAACAAACAGCTGAAAATCCATTGATTGTTTGATGAGGTTAATGGGTACCATGCTTCGTCAATTTCATTTTGTAAACACAGGTTCAGATGGTTCAAAAATGATGATTTTGAAAACTGAGGATAAGGATATAAAAAAAATGCCAACAATTTTTAAGGTGCAGGGTTTTTTAAAAAAAAGATTCCTGTCAAACATAAGAACTTGCAGGAAATTAGGAAATAGAAATTTCATTATGCCTCAAAACTATGTAAATTCTCCAAATGCAAGAAAATCGAGTGCTGTTTGAATTAAAACCAAGAGAAGTGGAAAGATTTTTAACCTTAAATACTAAAATGAGGTAGCCCATCCCACAAACCACATTTTAAATTGCTCTTTTTAATTACTAATTATTTTAATCAATGACTCAAAGCCTGTTTTTGCATCACTTCTGTTCTTTCTAGGAATGCAAAAAATTGATTAATTCTTGGATTTCTTCTTAAGACTAATCGTTCATTCAAAGCGATATTTGTATGCTTATACAAATACCAAATAAAAATAGAAAAAGGTAGTGGTTAGAGATGAACAATACTTTAAGTAATTGTAATCAGTTTGTTACCATTTTTACTTTCACTTACCTATATATGAAATATATAGTAATATATATATATATATAGTATAGTATATATATATATATATAGTAAATATATATAGTAAAGGAAAGTATTGCAATCGTGAAAATTTTCGAATCTTAGTTATCAACAGAAATACACGTTTTGACCTCTCTCGAGTCCAAATAACCAATGGTCTGTGTTTGTATGTTAGCAGTCTAACTCATAAATGAAATTTCGTACGAAAGGGAAATTGCATATTTAAGGTTTTTATATGCTAGGGATGTTACAGCAACTTTTTCGTCAATATCGGCTAACCGGAAGTGGCACTTTATGTCATGGACTAATTTTCTTGAAAACGGCTCCAACGATTTTGATTAAGTTCATTATTTCAGTGTAAAATTAAGCAGTTTTAAATAAAATGTAGTTTTTATTCTGATAGATGTTCTGTAACAGGGCTTATTAAATGGCTAATTTTCAATATTAGCTTCTCCTAAAGTATCTTTGGTACTTTTTGTCTAAGCGGCCGTTTTGAAACCTCACTTCTTATCTATCTTATCTAACGTCATGTCATCATGTCACATAACCTCCCTCTTCTTAACCCGCCAAACTTTTGAGTTATTGCATTGTTTAGTTTTTAGTTATTCCCTTATTACTTCACTTATTAAATTGTTTACTTTTGGCCGGTTTGTGTTTATTTTTAGTTTTTGGTCCGTTTGTGTTTATTTTACTTTTTTTTTTAGTTTGTGACCCCTTGGTGTTTATTTTTCATTTTTTTTTTTCGTTTATTTTCGTCATATTATGGATCTTCTTAGAATATGGGATTTCAGAAGAACAGAACAGGCAATTCAGTATTTTCAAAATGTTGGGGTACTTGCTGGCTTATCATTGGTGGATGTTTAGTGGAGTTTGCCGAGAAACAGATGAATGTTTTATCGTCAAAATAATTGACAGAAAGACAACAACATTATTACTAGCCATTAAAGAAAATAGAAGAGAGAACGACCATTTATTCGGACTGTTGGAAAGGATACAACACCCGACAACTGAACGAAGCAAACTATGACCATTTCCAAGTGAATCACCGGTATAATTTTGTCGATCCATCAACTGGGGTTGATACTCAACACATAAAACGATTGTGGGGCTCAGCTAAGTGGAGAAATAAAGTTCATAGAGGAACTGCCAGACAACACCTCGATTCATATTTGTGCAAATTTTTGTGGCAGCGGGTTCACAGAGAGGAGGACCCGTTCCTCGCTATTTTAAGTAGCATAAAACAATTTTGCCTTCCAAAATAAATAAGACAAAAGGAAGTGAATAATTAACTAAAAATAATTTGTATATACGTTGTTTATAGTGTTGATATTTTTTCTTTTCTAAGTAAATATGTTCTTTTAAATTTGTTTTTTTATTATTTCATTAATATATTTGTCGTCAAATAAAAGTATTTTTGTTGTTATTACATTTATTTCTGTATCTGTTTACACTTTCAATGATACAAATTCAATACAATAATACGAAGATGTGAAGTAGGAGAAGGCTTATCACTGCGTTATGGGAGCTATCAGTGTTCAGGTTATAAACATTGGCAGATAGCAGTCAGTAGCGGCCGCTTAGACAAAAAGTACCGTATCTTTAATTTTTTTTTTTTTTAAACAATCGACCATTTCACATTAAACTATAATATAAATACAAAATATAAAAGAATTTGATAATTAACTAAAGAAGAAATAAGAGATCATAACGGTGAATAGTTGTAATTGAGGAACAATAGGAATACGATCGCACCCTAGCTTGCCAAAAAGATTATAAGAGGCTTTCATACGTAACATGAGCTTGATATAATACGAACTCTGACAATGTTATATCAATATATATATGCGGTTTTCATAAATGCTATTGTTGGTATTATTTAATATTTAATTGTATAGATTACAGCGATATAAATATTAAAATTTGTCTATAATTTTTACTTTCTTCCCCTTAGTCTGAAAATACTTATTACTGCTTAGAAGAGGGTGGTAAGCGAAAGTTGTGTGATGCGCGCACCACACCAGATTTTTACGCATTAAAGCCAATAATTCTCACAGAAATCAAAAGTTTTATTTTTTTTAAAACTTACTTTTGCCTTTGATATTATTATAAAAATGAGTTTTTAAGATTATTGGGAGGATAATAAATGAGTTTAGTGGTTGGAAAATGCTTGAGGGTTGCCCTTAGTATTGACATGCAACCTTTAGGTTTGCTGAGCGAACATAAGTAAAAGTATATAATGTTAATATAACTGCTAATTACTGGATTATAGCAATTTAGTTTGTTTTTTTCTATTTTCTGTTCCTTAGAGATAATTAAATTATTTACATATTTATCAAATCTCTATTCCTTGACTTGGCTTCCTCTTTTTCTTTTTAGGCAATAGGGACTCCACTTGTTCACTTCCCTCGTCCGTCCCTCATCTTGGCTTGCCTGCTCAATACTCCTCAAACCGGTTATCCTTTTTATTTCTTTATTCGTAATCCTATCACTCTTCCTTATTTTTAGAGCTGTTTTTTCTGATAGTTATATGACGTAACTACCACTATTTAAAATAGAATATTAAAAAGTAAGAAGAAGAAAATAAAGTTTCATAGTTTAATTTGATTTTTAAAATGCTTGTAATTTTTTTACCTTAAAAAATGATGCATTAGTTTGTATTGAACAAGACACAGAGTGATCATTTGAAAATATAAGTAGTACAAATAGTGATAGAATAAAATTTATTATTGCTACCAAATTTTAAAACAAAACAGCAAATAGAGGTTAAATGTTATACATCTAAGACGTTTCAGGATTGGTCAGAATGAATAAAGGTGAAAAATTGATACTAAATGTTATCAATATAGGATTAATACTTATACAAAAAATACGTCTTAATCTTACAATCTTTATTTCATTATTAAAAATATTTATTAACAAGAAATTCCACTTTCTCCATATCATACTAGTCATAAAAAAAAAAACTTATAAAATAGATTTCCTTTCTTTCTCATTTTGTTAAAAAATTTGGAAGGTGTAAAATTATGCATTGAATTTTTTTCTTTTTAACTATAAACAATACAAGGGGATGTAAAGGCATTGAGATGGGGCAGTTCCGTCGTCAAATTTGTCAGTTATTTTTATAAATATATTAGATGTAATAAACAATTAAAAAATAGAACCAAAATTATGTATAATTGAAATTAATAAAATATATACTTTTTTTTTGGTCTTCTGAATAATTACAATAAAAGTATTAAATTCACCAAAGAAACTGAAAGTAATAATTCCACCAGAGTGTTAGCATTAAAATTAGTGAAAAGAAAGGGAAACTGGTTATTGGATGGACAATTAAAGAAATTACTAGTGGTATACTTGATTACTATTCAAATCATCCACAGTACATGCAAATAAATATTATTAAAAAGTTTATAAATAAAGTAATAAAAATAATAGATGAACCAAAAATCAATAAAATATATACATTTTTATTGCATAACTCTTATCTGATAAATATTATTAAACAAATTTTGAAATACTGGTATAAAATTAGAAATATTGTAAAAGTCACGAATAATATAAAATACAAAAAATGTACGTACATAAAAAAGCTATCACAAAGTTTAAACAAAACTTTTAAAAATTATAATGTACCTGAATGTAATTTTGAATATAAAACTATTAATAAAATATCAAATTTCTTAAATAATATGAAAGATAAAGTTGATGAAAATTGAAATGTAGGGGTTGTATATAAAATAAATTATTTGGACTACCCAGGAATATATCATAGTAAAATTTGTCTATACATTTTTTTTATTTTATTTTTTTATTGAATATTAATACATTCTGCCATATTAAAGGGCATTAATATTAAGGCTAGATGAATCATTCACACAATATGTACATACAAATAATACCTAAGATTTCGATAATAAAGAAAAAGAAATATATTGAATATTTAATAGTTGACCGTTGCATTATAAAGGAAGGAGATGGTTCGGGGTTGCGGTCATAAAAATGCTAAATAGTGGTAAAACTATTTTATTGAAAGCCATCGTTTCGATAAAATAGTTTTACCACTATTTAGCCTTTTTATGACCGCAACCCCGGATCATCTCCTTCCTTTAAAAAGAAAAATAGAAAAATAAAATAAGTAAATTGATATGCCTGTGTACAAGAAAATGAAATAATAGATAAAAGCTAAATGAAATTAAAGTAAATAAAACACATTCACACCTATGTGTCTATAAATTAAAGATACAATATATCAATATAAAAATTATTACAAAAACAAAAATAACTCAAAAGTTAATAAAAAAAAACTGCATTGGTACATGGGTTTGAAAAAGGGCGTAGATTTGATTTAGAAGATGTAGAAATTATTCACAAAGAAAAAAATATAAATTTAGAAGAAAAAATACCTACGTTCTACATACCTACCGTTCGTTCTTTATGGATAGAAAACTCTTACTTTAAGGAATGAGCGAGGCCTTAGGGTTTTTAAATTAAAGTATTATGTTGAATATTTGGACCGAAGATGAATCAACCGGAGAATTTAGATGTGCATGAACTGTATAACACGGTTGAAAGGAAAGCTAATGAAATTGTAGATATAAAAGAAAAAAACAAATTTTTTTAAATTGTATTTACACGGTTACTACCATAGAGTTGTAAACTATATTAAAAAAAAAAAACATTTAATGGAAGTTTTATGACAATTTTTTTTTTGGACTGTTTAAAAATGTTTAGTAGAGTTTAAATGTTCTATTGTGTAAAAAGAGAAATTTCATGTTAAAACAATTTTTGAATAATGAAATAAAGATTATGGGGTCAATGAGATAATTTTTGTATAAATATTAATCGTATGTTGATTAAATTTAGTAATTTCATTGAGATGCCATACAATAATGAATAGCCCAACAACCTTATTTGAATAAAGTTGTTTATCACAACTGCTTTGTCTTATTCTCTATGAAAACATTAAAAAAAATTGTGCTGTTCAGTATCGTTCTTCTCCAGTTTAGTGTCAGGACAATATTAAAAGTTGGAACTAATCAAGCAAGTGGTTCAGTCAGTCTTTTTTGCAAGATCGTCTCTAAATAAATATTTACTGATCCAGACAATCATTGAACCTAAATTCCTCATTGTCATGGCAATCTTAAGGATCTCTTTATTTCAAAGCATGCAAACCATACCGTGGCCACTTCTATTCTATTCCTATTTCTCTATTATTCTTCAACTCGCCCTTCAGTAACTGGTCATGTCTACTTAAAACCCCACTGCTACAAGTAAATTATTAATTTCATCATGAACTATGCATTCAGCTTGCACCTTTCATCTCTCATTATGGCCACCATCCTCGTTTGTCCTTCCCTAGGAGAAGAAAATTGATTGTGCGATTTTTATCCAATCTTAAATAAAATCCTAAAGTTTGGATAGTTTTCCTTTAATATTAAGCAAGGGGACTCATTCTCTGTTAAAATTTAGAGAACAGACTCTTATTTTTTTTTACCTCTGTTAAAATTTAGAGAACAGACTCTCTTAGTTTTTTTACCTACCCTTAGCAGTGCCTGCCTCATAAGCAGTATAGGCTATGATAATGTACTTAGCAGCCCCGGTACATGAAACTAAGGCTTAGGGGGTTGATGTTCTTTCCATATGCAAAGAGTTTTGCTTGAAACCGCCCATATACCATAAGTGGCTGTGAGACCCAATAGTCTGGTATAATCCATGTTGCACAAACCTACTGCGAGAAAATATTTCTTAAAAAGCACCATCGCTTTCCATATTCCATCTGCTTACTAATAATCTCAGCATTTTCTTGCTCTTTACCATCTCAGAATTCTAATTCACTCCCCCCTTCTGTTAACTATTTTATTGTGTTCTCTTTTTGTCAGATATTTTCTTTTTTCCCCCACTCTCAATGTCATTTTATTCATCTTCATGTATAAACTTACCTCATCTTATTTAATTCATTTTTAAATTTCATCTAATTCTATTTATTTCATATTTGTATTGTAATGTTATCTCTCTTTGATTGAAGATCTCTAGCAAATTAATGAAAATATTGATAAAATAAGTACTGTTCTGATTATGAATAAATAAAAAATTTTAGTTAGAAACAAAAAAAGATAAATATTTCATTCATTATTATGCTTATGGAATGAAGCATGTGAATATATGGAAACATTTTCATGTATAAACTTACCTCATCTTATTTAATTCATTTTTAAATTTCATCTAATTCTATTTATTTCATATTTGTATTGTAATGTTATCTCTCTTTGATTGAAGATCTCTAGCAAATTAATGAAAATATTGATAAAATAAGTACTGTTCTGATTATGAATAGATAAAAAATTTTAGTTAGAAACAAAAAAAGATAAATATTTCATTCATTATGCTTATGGAATGAAGCATGTGAATATATGGAAACATTTAAGTATCTGTTGTCTACTATTAGAAAAAGGGACAAAGTTCAAGCAGAAATAAAGACTATGTTAATATCCCATTAAAATGAGAACTGCTGGTTATTTTCAGTCTCTGAATTAATTAGAATTACCATCCAGAAATCGGCAAGTAAAAAACAATGATGAGGCTGCCATACATTGAATTTATTTGCTGATGTAATCTATTGTTGTTTAGTTTGATTTAAGAATTATGTTTTTAAGATCATACTAAATAACTTGGTACATAGAATACTTTGGTCCAATGGAAGATGAATCCATTTCAGAATTGAGGAGACTGAGAAGAGAATATTCATTCATTGATTATAATTGAAGTAATAATTAATGTAATTGTGTTGTTGGTTGACTGTATGGTAAATCAAGAAAATGCTCTGGGGTCAGCCAAATCAAATATCATTTGTAACTAATCATTAAGTGCCTATGTTTTGAAACCACACATTACAAGTCTTCCTCAGAGCTAAAATGAAAGATACAAATATTGTAAAAGTATAAAAATGGATATTAGTATAATGGACTTCAAAGTGAATAAATAGAAAACAATTAATTGAGTAAATAGAAAACAATAAAAGTTACAGATGGAAAAATTATATTTGTCAATAATCTGACGTAATACCATCAATTGTCTATTACAATATAAGAAACCATAGTTTTTATACTCTTACAAAAGTTTCATCTTATTTTCCTCCCTGTTGAAACAATGTTAAATAAATATTTATCACTATTTGATGCTAATTTTTAAACCAAACCCACCGATGATTTCTTGTTATGTTAGTCCATACTACTGATATCTTTTGGGAATTACACAATTTTAGCCTAGATAAAATTATTAGATTATATTCTAGTTAATATTTCTATATGATTTTATTTTATTTATTTCAAATTTATTGTTTTGTTTTTTTTATAGCTTGAAATAAACGCACAAGTTGCACAACCAGAACCAGAATCTCAACCTTTAGCAAAGAATGTAAGTATTTCGAAAAGTTTTTCAGCATTCTTTAGTTGCATAATATTCTTGTCATTATCATGGGTTCTCTAATTACTTTTTTTTTCATTTATTAAGATTAAAAAAGTGGACTGAATTCTTTTTTTTTCTGATTTGATATATTTTTTTAAGAAATATAATTTAAAATAAAATAAGCTTATCATTTCAATCTCCATTTCATTTCAAAACCATTTCTTCCATTTATTATGTAGTATCATTTTTGCTTATTACTAATAAGCAGAAATGTTATCAAATTTTAATGAACTAAAAAATATATCCTTGACTTTTACCCTTAAAATTAAAAAATATTTAGAATAAAAAAGTAGTTATTATAATTTATATTGGTTTCAATAAAATATATAATTTATTTTCCTCAGAGAGGATACTTAAAAAAAGCAAGAATAGAAAGGGGTGAGATACCTGCAAAACAAGAGAACAAACCTTCCCCTGCGAAATCGCCGAGGGTTGGAGTCGTTGGTGGCGAAGTAAGATTATCTGCCAAAAACAGTGAAAAGGTATTAAAAATGTTTAAATTTCATGGTTATTTTCTATACATTTTACTCATATATTTTTTTTTTTACCAAGTTTCTTTTCTTTTTTTAAAATGTTTTTTATGTCTTCAACTAAAATATTTCTGAATAAATAGACAAACGTTATCGTTTTACATAAATATTTTTTTCTTGTTTGAACCGAATAGAGTACTGAAAATCATTTAGTTGGGCTTCATGTACCTTAACACATTTTGCCATATTTTATTTTGAAATTTCATAAAAATCTCTTCATTGTTGTCCTTTGAATGAATGACAATGGCATAGCATGAGTCTGATTTTGAAATATTGTGTTTATCATGCTTGAAATAATAAAGAAAGAAGTATATTAAATGTGTTTGACTTAAGTTTTAGCAATTAATTCATTAAATTAAATTAAGTTAGTTTTCAATTCCCCGTAATTTGTTGAATCCTGGTTTTTAACAAAAATACTCTTTTTGAAATCCCCTGAATCCAAACAACCAAGTCTCTCAAAAGAGTATGCGTGTGAAAAGTCTTGACCAAAAATAAGTCGTAAGAAACTGAAATTGTAAATTTAAAGTTTGTATATGCCTAGGATGGTACAGAAACTTTTTCTTCAAAATCAGCTAATTGGAAATTCATCTTTATTTAATTGTTTTTTTATATTTTTTTTAAAAATGCTAACAATTTTTATTAAATTCATGAGGTCAATATATTATTAAGTGGTTTTTAATTTAAGGTGGTTTTTAATCAATGCAGTCTGGCAGGGCTTAAATTGTGAATTTTCAAATTTCTTCCTCTTAAGTACCTCCAATTTTGTAAAAATTTAAATTAAATATAAACTTTAAAAGAATTTGATAATATACTGGATAATAATAATAAAGGACTGAAGAAACTTGTGCTTGATTAAAAAATTATATTAGTTTTCAAGCATAACACGTGCTTAATATAATATTATATTAATATTGTATTTATATACACATGGTGTTCATAAATGCTAGTGTTGTTATTTAATTCCATAGATTACAGAAATATAAAAATTAAAATTTGTGAATATAGCAGTGCTTAAACATGTAAAAATACCCACAATTAGATTTTTTGGAATTTATGAGAAGTAATATGTTTATTGAAGAGAAGAATAGTTGGGGTGCTCAGTCAAAAAAGGAAGGCAAAAATAAATTATAATATTTATTTTTTACATCTGCCGACGTTTCGACCTGAAGTTCAGGCCATCATCAGGGCTTTCTCCTAAAATGTCAAAGTGAGAATGGAATTCATTACTATTTACTATAAAATGTCACTTTGACATTTTAGGAGAAAGCCCTGATGATGGCCTGAACTTCAGGTCGAAACGTCGGCAGATAAATATTTTAAAAAAATAAATATTATAATTTATTTTTGCCTTCCTTTTTTGACTGAGCACCCCAACTATTCTTCTCTTCATTATCCACGACAGTCAACCAATTACCAATTATAATATGTTGATTGTTTTTCTAGAATTTCAAGCATTCGAACAGTCACCAATTTGAAGAAAGTGAAGGTTATGACTACAGTAAGGTTAATTATAATAAATTCCAGTCAGGAGGTGCCATTTCTCCCAATGGTAAAAGGAAAGCATTTGGACAGAAGGTAAACATTCTTTTCTTATTTAAACATTCATTACTATTTACTATTACAATATTTTTTTTATTGCTTTCATATCATTAAAAATTTCTATTTAATTGAATCCAATTCCTACATATATTTAGGTATTTGTTTTGTTTTGGGTTTGGTAAATTGATTCAAAAATGCCATCCAAACATCACACTAGTTTATTTTTGTTCACATAACACAGCTAGTACTTACAGTAAAAAAATTATCGTAAGGAAGTATAAGGTTGCTATACTTGGTATTGTTATTTACAGCTGTCTAAACTGGTCACTTTCTTTGCTTCAAAAAACCTTGCATTGAAGTTTTCCATTTATTAGATATTACAACAAGCAAAGCTAAAAATGTGAATAGGATTAGATTTCTTGTTAACCCTAATAAAATATTTGAATGATAGATATCATTTTATTAAGAATTTAAAGTAGGAAAAAATAATAATAATGTGCTTTATTTATTCTGAGACAAGTCCCTTTAGAATAATACCCAATAATACTATTGTGGGCTTTAGAGTCTCAGTATTTTGTTTTATTCTCATTTCTGGCCAACCCCATGGCTGAAGCAGAGTTCATGAGTTTCCCAAAGACTTCTATCAACGCTGATTGGTTCCTGGCCACGATATCCAGGTCGTCAGTGTATCCCAATATCTGTACAGTACGGGTGAATATTGTGTGGTCTGTCTGGATTTCTGAATCCCGTACATCTTCCTCCAGTGCAAGATTGGAGAGGAGACAGGCTAGTCCATCCCCCTGTCTTAATCCTTTGTTGGAGGGAAATGCTTCAGAGCAGTCAGATTGGATCCGCACCTGACACCTTACATCTTTCATTGTCAACTTCATGAGACGTATCAGTTTGATTGGAATGCCCATTTCTCTCAACGCTTCATACAGCTTAAGTCGTTTGATGCTGTCATATGCACTCTTAAAATGGACAAACAGGTGGTGTGTAGGGATTTTATATTCATGACCTCGTTCCAAAATTGTCCTGAGGGTGAACACTTGATCAAAAATGGATCTGCTTTGGAAGCCAGTTTGATATTTCCGTTCCACAAATGGGGTAAATCTGCTGAAAAAGATATTCGAGAGGATCTTGTAGTCGCAAGACAACAGGGCTATGCCACGGTAGTTCGTGCAATCAAGTTGGTCTCCTTTCTTATGGAGAGGACATATTATAGCATTAGTCCATTGTTGTGCCACTCTTTCCTGGTCTCAAATTGTCAGGACTATATCGGACAGTGCTCTATGCAACTCATCTTCCCCATACTTGAAGAGCTCGGCTTGCAATCCATCCGTTCCCAGGGCCTTATTGTTTTTTCATGCGAAGGATTGCATCCATTACTTTCTCAAAGCCTGGGGGCTTGGTATCTCCAAGGTTGTTAGGCATATCCTCTCCAGCAATGTCGGGTGTCTATATTCTCTATGACCGTTATATTCCTCTGTGGCTTTCCTGGTGAAGCGCTTATTTAACATGTTCCTGTACGCTTCATTCTTCGCATCATTGACCAACTTATACTCCTTGTCGAACCATTTACCTCGATCCTCAAGAGCCTCCTTCCCAAAGATTTGTTCTACTCCAAGGCCTTTTCCAGTTGGTCCCAGACATCCTATACACGTTCGACTTCAGCTACTCTGAGCCCGTCCCTCACAAATTCTTCTGTTTTCTGGTGAAATGCTTGGCAGCTTTCTAGGTCCTTTAGCTTTCCGATGTTCCACCTTTTGGACCGTTCAGTCCTGTGGCTCCTGACGGTGGCAGTCCAGGCTCTAATTCTTTATATTACAAGGTAAAGGTCGGAGTCAACATTTGCTCCCCTGTAAGTCCTACTACTAAGGAGATTGGATTTGTGACGTGCACTGATAAAGATTTGGTCAATCTGTAATCTTGTAAATCTGCCGCCCTGGGAATAGAGTACTCCCAACTACTAGATTTTTTGATGCTGCGAAATCTATGACCCTCTTGCCGTTTTCTTTGATTCCCTTGTGCAAACTGAATGAGCCAACCATGGATTTATAGGCATCTTCTCTTCCAATCTTTGCATTGAAATCCCCCAGTATGATTTTTATGTTGGATTTGGAGCATGTGTCAAAGACTTGTTCCAGGGTATCAGTAAAGGCGTCTTATCTTTGTGGGTGCATGACAGCTAAAGAACGTGTAATTGTAGAAGGCCCCCTTGATGCGGATGGAATATAGATGATCATTAATAGGATTGAATCCAATAACCTGTTGTCTCATCCAATCTCTCCCAAGAACTCAGTGCCAAATGTGTGGTTCTTGTGGCTGCTGTATTGTGTGGAATTTCTTCTCCAACAGCCCATGGCCGGTCCAGCGGATCTCCTGAAGAGCGGTAATGTCAAGTCTGTATTTGTCCAGTTCTGAAAGGAGTACTTGATGCCAACCTCATTTATATAAAGTTAAAATGTTCCACATTTCTAATCTGAAGTCCATTTGACGGTTTCGGTGTCTGTTACCATGTGATCTGCCTGTTATTTCTTGTTGAGGTCTCGGGATGAAGAAGTTTCAGAGGGGAGGATTCGCCTACGCTCTCCTAGTCAGATGGAGGGCCTGCCTCCTGACAGGCTTGTGGGCTAGTTGCCAGGCTCTAGCCTACCTCATCAGTCCCAAGCTGACCGAAGAGGCGTTTCCCGCCTGCGGCACGGGGAGCCATCTGAACAACCCTTGTTGTCGCCTTCACTTCCTCTCCCTAGGGTGCTGGCCATCATTGGTAGATTCCACTACTTACCAGAGAAGGGGTCTCTGGCTAGTTCCAACCATCGGCAGGCAGATAAAAACCTAATTATTTAATATTGTCTGATGCAGGAATTTCAATGTTGTTGAAATATATAATGATGATAATTATTTATTAAACTTTAAAAGCCTAAAGTTAATATACTCAATAATTAATTAGTAATTTTATTTGAATATGACTTACACCACTTTTGCATCCATCTATTCAACAAGAGCATTTTATTATTTTATGGAGTTATCAAAGTGGAATTAGCAAGTGTTCAGCTCATTTAAATATTTTAAAATTATTTTCTCTTTCAAATAATGTTCACTGAAAAACTAAATTGAATTGTTACAGTTCCAAAACAAAAGGAAGAAAAAGAACTTTCAAGATAGAAATGTGAAAAAAAAACGTGGTGGCCACCAACAAATGTAAAAGTAGATTATTTTAGTTTATTATATATTCTTTTTATTAAATTATAATATTTTTTATGAGGACTTTCTACCATTGGTCTGTACAAATTAGTTTCTATGGTTGCCATCTCTTCAATTAAGTCTCTAAATTATGACTTTAATTGAAATCATGTGAACACATGCAGAAATTTATGATGGTATAATGGTATAAATATTATACCATAACCTTGAATTGAATATAACTTAATAAAGTTACATTCAATTAATTGAGTGATGATTCATTAATAGTGATTGGGCACTTAATTTTAAACATTTTAAGTTAACGACAAGGAATTGTCATTGGAAATTAATGACATTTTTAATCATAAACATAATAGACAATTGGTTGTAAATATTGAAATAAAATCCATTTATTGTTTCTGACTAATTTTTTTATTAAGATGTTGGTATGACTCCAGAATTCACTATTCTAACCTGCAACAAAACGTGAAACAGCTAATGAGCATTCAGTATAGATAGTTGTTGCTATCTATGTATTTTAGTTTGTTAATAATGTTCAGTGATTTAATAGTTGCATATTGTTTATCAAATCCAGTCTCTACTACTCTAAAGTAGTATCATAATTTATTAGTAGAGATGTTAACATATCTTATTATTTTTTTACCAAAAATATGTAATCATTGTATCATAATTATAAACACGTGCCCTTAATACCTTTCGCGACATATTGAAGATTTCTTTATCTCTTGAGCCGGTGCTAGTTTGTGGTGTGATCTTCCTTTTTTTTCTTTTCTGGTATATCAACTAATATAAGCTAAATTAAAATTTGAACATTGTTGAAACTAATATAGTTTTATGTAATTTGTTGAGCTTTTGGTAGACCATCGCCATTGACTTCCACCCATTATGCTTGCTCACGAGATAAAGTATTCTCATATCTTTATCAGTTTCTGAAGTATGGATCTTTTACATACGACAAATTTGAAAGTGTTATTATATTAATATCTTTATTTGTTGATTGCTGCTTGTGTCAGATTGTCTCACTGTTTAAATAAACAAGTACCTTTATCTAGGGTAACTTTGGTCCAACAAACGACAAAATATTTGATGTGCTTAAAACTTAGTTTAAAGAATGATTTTGCTTATTTATTGCAAACTATTGGTCCTTGCAATAAACGAGTGACAATCAATCTCTTTGTTTAGATATGATAAAATCCTTATTCATTTATTATCTTGCATGAAAGATTTCAGTTTGAACCTTTATTTCCAATAGGATTTAACAAAATACAAGTCTATTATGTTATCTTTGGTAAGTACTACCCTTAAAACACAGTGAAATATCACAAATAGCAGTCCAGAACCTAATATTGATTTCAGGTTTGGTATCAATAGGTTCTCTGGAGTTTTATCAATAAAATTTGTGTGCTGAAAAAAAATTTCTTTAAAATTTGTTGACCTTATAAATTTCATTTTTTTTTTCACAGAAAGTTCTTGTTAATTATGTAAATTATAATTTGTGTATAGTTATAGATTTGTATATGTTGTAAACCAGAAATGTTTATTAACCATATTCTCACTTTGTAACATATTCTCTTTTAATGGTAATTTTGAACCACATTCCTAGATAATTATGGCAGCATGATTTGTTTTGTTATTTTTAAAAAATTATAATTTCCTTTTTATATAACAATTTTGGATAATATTGTTTAATGCTTATGCTAACGTGTAATTTAAATATATTTTTTTAAATATTGTAATTATGAATACAAAAAATTCACCATTTAGTTTACTGACAAAAACTGTTAAATGTCATTATTGCAGAATTTCTGTAATTCTTTTGTGTATTAATACACCATTTACACTCAACCTGACATATATACATGTATATAAGATGTTTGTTTAATAAATTAAAATAATAAATATTTGTTTATTTCTAGTTTTAAAGTTTATATCAGTTAAATACCTATTCTGGGTCTATTATATTATATTAGTGTTCAAAAAGAATCATAAACCTTTTTGAAATTGATTTAAAGTTGATAAACTACACTTTTTGTTCCATTTTTTTCTTCAATTTTTATTCAACAGTGAAATGATTCTTTCTAAAACATGTTCTCAAATAATAATTATGATTAGGCTGGTCAAGAGTTATTATAATCATTATGATAGTAATGTTTCATAACATATTGGAAGCACTGAGATGTATGGATTTTTTCACAATGGTTCTTGCCAAGAGTGTAGCTAATTAAAGAAATTGGCCCAAAAAAGGGGACATTTTTTTTAAATTTAATTGTTTTCAGGTTAAGGGTATTCTATTTTTGTAATCAGTTTCATTCAAAGTGTTGAAAAAAAAAATGGGCTGTGTTTAAATCTATATTTTAAATTCTTCAGCTAAATCTTTTTAATAGTATCTGTGCCATATGTGTTTTCTTCCAGTGCTTAAATATTCTTAATTATCTTTATGGAGACCCTCATTTTAGTCGACTTATAAATTAAGTCATAGCAGTGTTGAGTAAGTACTCGAGTAAATGAGTATGAGTTAAATTAATTCAATGATCATGAGTAATGAGTACAGTTAAAATATTCATAATTCTTCTGGTAATGCGTTATGAGTGATCACTCTTAATTGTTTCGTCATGAGTAAATCACTCATCAACATGAGTAATGATAAAAAAAAAGTTTTTTCTTTCATTCGATCTAATATTTTTGTGGAAACTGGTTAAAAACTTTTTGTATTTATCAAAATATATTTAACAAAAAAAAGTTACAATTTTATTTAAACAAAGAAATAGAGGCTTGTTGTTCGGGGAATAACACTATAAAATGGAATAATAAACTTGTAATTAAATAATACATAATAATAGAAAAATATTAATAGAATAACTTTTTAACAATTGATAATAAACTAGGAGAGTTTTTCAAATGAGATATTTGCTTTCAGTACTACTCTCTTTAAAAAAAAAAAATCATCAGGCAGTTTGCTTTTGGCAAATTTGTCATGGTGGCATATGAGAACAGCCTTTCTAAAGGGGCAGATGACAGTAACAGAATGTTGTACTTGTGGATAATTTATTTTATCACTGGGTATATAAAGCCTATAGGTTATTCGAAATTTTATCTAGACAAAGAATAATAGATCAATTTTTATTCTTTATGCTTATTCAATGATCTTTGGACAGGTAATTAGTCCGAAAATTGTTGGAATGGTGAAAAACCAATCATTGATTTACAATGAAGATTTGGAAAATTTTAAAATAATACTGTATATAAAAATAAATTATATATATAAACATTTTTTTTTTTTATTTCTTTATGACATTTACAACTGTATTACATAAATACATCAAGTAAATTTGGACATAATTGATATAATGACATGAATACACTTGCTGAGTAACTACCCAATGGTAGCACTCTAATGATATGACTACATTAGGAGATCAGGGGGCATCTTCTTTTCAGATGCCTCAGAGGGTTATCAGGAATTGAAGAGGAAGCAAGGTTAGAAACGAGAGGGTTGGGATGATTCTGAAGTTTATTATGGAAGGATAGGTATCTGGATTGGGCCAGATCTGAAACATAAGGAACATTAAGATCTTTATGGATAATTTTATTAGTGACAAAGTAAGGAGCATTGAGGATTTTGGATTGTAAGGATTGGATGCGAGAGGAATGAGATGGTTTAGTGGAGCCCCATAGCTCAACTCCGTAAGTGCAAATAGGTCTTATTATAGTCAAGTATATAAGTCTTTTGTAATTAATGGGAAGTTTAGAGCGTTTGTCTAGTAAGTGCTGAAGTAATCGGAAACGTCGAGCGGTTTCTTGTCGTTTCAGTCTAGTATGAGGATTCCAAGTTAGTCGTTTGTCCAGGTGGAGTCCTAGGTATCGGATTTGCTCAACAGGGATAAGTGGAGTATTGTTAAAGGAAACTGTAGGACAGGAAGTCGTTGGTTTACGACATATATAAACATATTGGAGAAAAGTGAGTTTGGAATGATGTGTAATGGGGTGAGCATTATAACAGCCCGCGGTTTTAACCTTCGCCTGCTGAAATCCAGCGGATTGAAGGGGCGAACAGATCGCGCGGGAAGCGGTGCATTGCGGCTGATACCTAACAATAGCGCGCGGTCTTCGCCCGCTAAAATGGAGCTGGCGAATGAGTTGCGCGGTTTTAAGCTTCGCCCGGGAGGATCGAGAATCAAGTTGCGCGGGAAGCGGTACACTGTGAGCGTCAGTCAACCAGTTGAAGTGATGAATCAGAATGTATGTGCCAATTTCGAATCAACCTGGATGAAGTGGCGTTCCGATTTCTGATTCATCAAATGAAGAAGGGAATAGGACTTCAAACTTCCAGATCACCATTTTAGACGGTAAATTTTTTCAAATTAAAACGTTTAAATGGTCACATATGTATCGGCATTTGCATGCTTTCCCTTCCTAAAAATGTAAATATTTTATATATAGAAAATCATCTGCCAATTTTACTTTCCATTTATGAAGAAAGCATGGTAGGAATTCTGTCATTGAATATAAAAAATTCACTGAAATATAAAGCTACATCTAATTCTTCAAAAAGAGTTAAAAATAACCCCTCAACTATTAATAAAAAAATCAAAAAAAGTAATGTTGCAATTGTAAAGTTTGTAATTGTATGCTGATGGTTGACTGTAGTGAATAATTTAAGAGAAGGATGGTTGTTGGAGTGATCAGTCAAAATGAGAAATATTAAAAAAAAAAAATTATATTTATTTTTATATTTGCCGACGTTTCAGTCCGAAGTTCAGGGCTAAAAAAAGAACCTGATAACAGGTATGAGGAACTATAAACATTGAATAATATAAATTAAAATTAAAAAGATGAAGGGTATAGACTAAACAATGTTGGTAGAAAAAATTTAAAGTAAAATGAAGTAGATAGAGTGAACATTAAAGTGAAATAAAGTAGGTAGAATAATAACAGTAACAGAGAACTAAGAGATAAACAATAATAACGGCAACAAAGTACGTACGAACTAATGAAATAAACAATCAAAATAAGGTAACAAAAAATGAAAAATCTTAGAATAAAATGTAAAACAAAGAAAAAGAATATGAAGTTATGTAAGAAAATAATAGATATAAATAGAAAATTGAGGTATTGTAAAATCAATCAAAATATACTGACTACCTATAAGAGAATTAAAAGTTGAAATAATGTAAAAAAGATGAATGAGCAAATGTATCAATATATACAAAATAGAGATGGAGATATGGAAAAACGAGTAACGGAAAGGCGGAAAAAAAAAGGAGAAAACTAAGTTAAGAAAGATAAACAAATCTTTTCAATCCGAGAAGCGTGGAAAGACAAAGGTATTATAGCCAGAAAGAGTCGAGTTACTAGATAGCGTCATCTGTAACGGTTAACTGAAATATGTGAACTAAAACACAAGAACGTATATAATGGACGAGAGAAAATCGACGCCGTTTTCGAAACACTCATTCGGCTGAACGAATCACATTTTTATTAAAAGAAATATACAATCAATATGGATTACCAAACTGTGAGATAGTAGCTACGGTGACAGAGAATGCCAGTAATTTTATAAAAGTCTTTCAACTTTGGAGTAGAATGTAAGCTACTAAACTGTGAATCAAACAATAATACCTTTTTAGAGCCAATTTCAACTGTTGATTCTTCAGAAAGTGAATGAATGGAAATGAAACTAGCGCAGATACTTCTGATTTATCAAGATTTTTATCTTGTCACATAAGGTGTTGTAGTCATACCTTAAAGTTGTGTGTTTCAACAGATGGTACCAAAGCTATCGGAACTTGTGAAGAGTTGTTAATTATTTACGATAGCGTACTAAAAAAATGTAATGTTCTATGGAAATCAGCTGCATGACCAACAGCTGAAATCATTCTCAATATATTGGATCACAATCTTTCTCGACCTGTAGAAACTAGATGGAATTCTCTTTACGACAGTTTAAAACAAATTATCGACATTAAAGAAAAAAGCTCCTAAGTTTTCAGTGCATTAAATTTAAAAGATCCTCTTAGTGAAGAGGAACTCCAATGTATTTCTGAACACCTGGAGTGTACAAAACCATTCGCCGTTTTGATCGATATTTTGCAAGCGGAAAACAATATATTCTTCGGAATTTTAATACTATCAATAATTTCTCTCAAAAGTAAAGTAGAAATTATATCTAAACCTGGCTTTATACATTGCAGACCTTTAATTACTGCTCTGCAAGCAAGTGTTAAGCAACGCTTTGGAGAATTCTTGTCATTCAACATCGAACTTTCCCAGAAGGCGCCAATTACAGCATTCTCCTACCCACGGTTCAAAAGAAGATGGTTGCAAAGTGTATCCGCATCAAGGCAAATATCTCATCATTTGAAAAACTCTCCTAGTTTATTATTTGTCATCCTACCTCACTATAACCAATGTCGAACAGACAGATTGTTATAATACTCAATAAAGAAATTTTAGTTTATTATCAATTGTTAAAAAGTGATTCTATTAATGTTTTTCTATTATTATATATTATTTAATTACAAATGCGTTATTTCATTTCATAGAGTTATTCCCCGAACAACAAGCCTGTATTTCTTTGATAAATTGTAATTTTTTTTTTTGTTAAATATATTTTGATAAATATAAAACGTTTTACCCAGTTTCCACAAAAATATTAGATCGAATGAAAGAAAAAAAACTACTTTTTCTTGTTGTCATTATTCGTGGTGACAAAATGTGTGATGAATGATTTAAGAGTAATCACTCATCATGCAATTTTAAATTTGACAATATTTCAAAAAGCTTGGACGCAACAACATTGCGGCCTCCAACATTGATAAAATCTTAAAACTTATAAAACGTGATGAGTTATTGCACAATATGAAATTCGACAGTATTTTCATAAAAAGCTCGCCTAAAACATATCGCTTAAATCCG